AATTTTAGGGAGGGATGTTACTTTCAGGCTTTAAGCATATTTAACTACCAGAGAAGAAAAAGAAAGAATATGTAGGTGTATGCACAGTTTTGGCTATCTTAAAAGTGGTGATGGTGGGATTCTTTGAGTCCTCTCAGTAGTATCTGGTGTTAGTGAAATGATGCTAGGTTTGATACCTCTAATCAGATGGTATTCGGCATGCACAGAAGTGGCACAAATAATCTGATTTAGGGAGGTCAAGTTTCTTTGCTGTGGGTCAGATAGACTGATTTTGGCATTTCCTTGGCGAGGTTGTGGAACAGCTTCTGATGTATCCGAGCCAGCAATGCAATGATGTTTCATGGCGAGCCAAAAAGATGGTGTACTGCGTGTGAAACAATGAATGTTATTTACCCAGCTGAGGCTCAAAATGAGGTAGATAATTTTCTGAGGTAGGAAATTCAGGCAGGCTGTCCCAGACAGACTGAGGCACAAAGCAGAAGGCTGACACACCGATAATAAATAAATAGGTTTTAAGAGAGTGTATTTTCCATCTGTTGTATCTGATCTAAAAATATGCATAGATCTAAAATTAAGATTTATGGTGCTCTTAAGAATCAGATTAAGAGAGATTCTCTTGTCTGTTAAAGCTTAAGTGCATAGCTGAGTCTTTCTGTAGCGTGAAGATGGCACGTTGGCTCCCACCCCTAAAGGTGTGTGGCTGGTGTGGGGGACCTTTTTTGATACATAGCAATGAATGTTGTGCAGCACACACAATTGTAATCTGCTTTCCTCTAGTAAAAACTGTCTCCCATATAGCAGTATAAAAATAGTAGATCTGCCGCAGACCTCTGGCACTACTCTGACCAGAAAGGACAAATTATTAAATTATTAAAAAGAAATAAGGCCCCTTGAGGCAACCTCTCTAGGACCACAACAATGATCTGACCATGGTCTATCTGTACTCGTTATTTCTGATTTGGATTACTATAATATGAGATTTCTGATTGCAAAGATTAGAATACCCATTGCTAGGAGGTGCATGTGACAAAAGTTGTGCTTAATATTTTTGAAAATGGCTTGGAAAACCTGTTAATAGTTACATTCTTATTCCTACGTGGTGTCCCCAATGGTACTATATCAGTAGTAGTTTTGACAGCTACTTCTACTGAAGATTGAGTAAAATTTTGAGGTTTTATTGGAGGAATTTGGCGGAGGGGGGAGAAAAGCCTTGTTATTAACTTTTACTTTTTATTGCTTATATTTCAGTTAAAATATCAAGTGTCAAAGTCTAAAGCTGCTATCTGGCTGGCGTCAGTTGTGCTGGGGATGTGGGGCTTTTTTGTTGATATTTTTTTTGTTGTTCGCTTGTGTTTGAGAAGATAAATTCAGAGAAGTAATTCACTGTTAGTTTTTGGAAATATAATGCCCCCCGCCCAATTTATTTACTTTTAAAAATTAAAATTCCCTTGGTAGATATGGAATAGCAGTGACATTAATTTTTTTGACATTTGAATGAATTAAAAAAACCTCCTTTCTAAACTTTCTCTTCATTTTATATATATATATTTTAAATTTTCTCCTAATTTATTATAAAATTAATATTATTTTTTTTAAGAATAAAATTGTTTCAAATATTTTTAAGCTAAAATAAAAATTAAAACCAGATTATCTCCTGGCACTTTACTCTTATTCCCTACCTGCAGGTAAGTCTAGTGATCTTAGGAAACTAATTTATTAGCAAACTTGGCTACTATAAACTAGCTTTTGCTTATTGCTCAGTATCATTAATCTTTATTAATCCAACTCACTCTGCTGAGACTCAAACTTCTGGGTTTTTTCTACATTTTATGGTTTTAATATAAAAAGATGTTAAACTACTTTTTAAATACTCTGGGTTGAATTCAATTTGTCATGCACATTTCTCATACTATTCTAGAGAGATTTTTACCCCGTGCAAGAAAATTCAGAGTAGTTGTGTAGCTTGTGCAAGCTGTGAAGGTCTGTGGACTTATTGTAAGAGGACAGTGTGTCTAGGATGACTTTATTCACTGCTCCGTCTGCTGCAATGAGTCTCCACGAAATCCTCCGAATAGTGCAAAGAAATAAAACTGTAAACAGATGGAAAATTAGTATTTAGAGCAAAGTGCCCAGGGTTTTGATAACTGGAAATTCCTGGAGCACCAGATGATGTTAGCAGATAAGATTTAGAGAAAGCAGCCTGTTCAGGAAAACATGAGAGCTCGTGTAGTTTCTGAAGTAGTACATCATCTACTGATGACCTTAAACGTGAGCGTTAGTGTTTCTTTGAACTGGAACCATCTGTAATTAACTGTTGAAAATATATTTTTTTTAATTGGTAAAAATAAAAAAATAGGTAAGTATATATATGTTATTTACTCAAATGGTCCCCATGCCCCAGAAGTTTGCAAGAACCACCTCTCATCTCACAATTTCTAAGAGGTTTGCAGATGCTACCACCATAGACATAGACCCAACTAGTGCAGAAAACAAAAAAGCTTTTAATGAGAAGGAGAAGGGATTCACATCACCCCGTGGCCCTTAAATACTGCTGGCCTGACAAATCAAAGGCAGGGGCAGTGGTATGATTTCATTAATGCTGGTGTAAATCCAAAGTACTTCTCCTAGCTTTGGTCATGTGGTTACTTTGGAAATAGTACAATAATGAGCGTTTTTCTGGTGATTGACACATACACCTGAACGCAGTAATCTCAGAATAAGAGTTTAGAAGGGATGAGTGCTGGATGTTAGAGGAAAGAACTGAAATGGAAGCCCTTCTTTGCCATCACTGTGCACAGCTACTCAAATGGCAGTTTAATGCTCTATGGAAGTATGATTTGTTGGACAAAATTCATTCCTTCCTAAAATTCATAGCTTGAAGGGGTTTTTGTTAGTGGCTTTAATGCCTTTTGCTGGTCTGTAGCTGAAGTTTTTTGTTTCAAAGTTCTGTTGTTTTCTCAGAAGGAAACTTGGTAATAGACGTGTTTGTGTGTGCGCATGTGCACATCTGTAACAGCTGAAGTTTAATAAAATAATATTCTGCAAAACAGGATGGGGATATTTTTTTATATGCCAAAAGACAGATCATTACCTGGTGAAGAACCTTATAATGTTCACCTGCACTTCCATGTTTGTGAGCAACCACAGCTGTATTGTGAGCTTGAGGATAGCCCAGGAAATCTCCACTGAGGACAACTGCAGAGGTGTATGCAAGCACAGGGACTTCATAGGGGGAAAAAAAAAAAAGAAAGAATGTGTGTATGGAAACTTCTGTGCTCTAACATGCTGTTACCTGTGTAAGAAGTTTCCATAGATACCTCTTGCAGGGGCTGGGGTGTTTCAGGAGGAATTTGCAAAGTTCTCTGCACTGAAGTGCCACTTTTGCTATTTTTCAGCATAGAATAACAAAATATGATTGCCTTGTTAAGTATGCTGCTGATAATGAATATCCAGTGCCATTCTTGCTTTGTATAATATTGCCAACTTAAACTTGTGTTGCATTATGCCATTACTATAATTATTAAAACAGAAGAAGAACGAAGGATTTTCGTGAGATTTATAATTTTCTAATAGGAATAAACCTCTGTACCTTTAATGCAGCAGCTTGAAATTATATCATTAATGTTTCTTTTTCAGCATTTTAGTCTTTTAAGCCAGATTGCCACAAACATGTAATGCAAACTAAGATTTGGCATTCACACGCGTTTAAAAGCTACGGGATGATGGTTCAGATGATTTGTAAAATCCTCTAGCTATTTGAAGTAGCAGACAGTTGCTTACCTATTTGCATAAAAGCACCTGTGCACCTAATAGCCATTACAAACGGTGGGGTACAGCTGCAGCAGAGGTGCTTGTGCTCCTGCCTACGTCGCTGCTTTTGGAAATGCCACTTGCTTTCCTTCAGCAGCTTTGAGAGTCCCACCTGTAGTTCTCTCTTTGGAGCAGCAGCAGTTCCATACTCTGTCTCTCCTCCGAGCCATACAAGGAGCAGTGCAAGTGCACTTCCCTTGTGTTTTCAGGAACGGTGTGTCAAGGTCACCAAGAAGAGAGGAAGAATGTTGTACTGATGTCTGCAGTTTAGAAAGGATGTTGAAGGTTGGACTGCAGAAACGAGGGACTTTTTTAAAAATTTTATTATTTACATTATTTCTTTTTTATATTTGTATTTTTTATTATTTATATTTTTTATTTTTTTCTTTAGAGGTGGTAAAAGACGCTGACTATAGGATGTAAATATTTGTGGAGAAAGGACAATGAGCAGTAAAGGATTCCTTAGAAAAAAGCATACAGGGACTAAACTGTTGCATTATGGCTAGCGGATGTAATCTGGAAGCAAAGTACCTTAGACAGTGTCTAACAACACATACGCTGTGAGTAGTGTTTGGAGGATGGCCAGGTGATGGTTTCTTCATCTCTTGGATGTTTTCAGATGGAGGGTGGATGCTTTTTCAGGAGGATTTACTGTTATAAATAAATGCAAATCTTTGGGCTTAATACAGGAGTAACTGAATGAAATTTAATGCCCAGTGGTAAGTTTGGTTTTAGAAGACTGAAGGAATGGTGTAGCAATTCTGAGGAATACAAAGACTTTTTTTGAGGGAAGGAAACAGTTTCTCCTCTGGGGTTCTTTTGTTGGAAAGCGCAAGAGTGGATGGGCTTCAGTGCATCAAGTTGGACATAAAAATGTTCCACTTGTTAGAACAATGAAATATTGGGGGAAAAAAATGCATGTGGAAGTAGCAGTAGTAATTTAGATGTGTTTTTTCCCTTGAGAAAGAGGATGAAGTGGATGACATCTTAAGTTTCTCCCAGCCTTTTCTCTGAGACCACGTAGCTGTCAATTTTATTTTCATCTTTATCTTATTCAAACCAGGACATGATCTTTTACCTCTGCTCAGTCAAAGTCTCTGGACTCCATGTAATGCATTACATCTGAACACAAATGATAATCTATTTACAATTTTAAGAAAAAAAGTTACAACCCATCATCTTCTTTTTAGGTCCTCCAGGGAAAAGAGGTAAGCGGGGCAGAAGAGGAGAGACTGGTAAGTTTTCAGTTTCGTAAGATCTGGTATTATTTGATGTCTGTGTTTTTGTGAGGATGCGTACCCAGCATGCCTTCATTTTTAGTTTCATTGCTTGTGTGCTCTGAGACAGACTTCTGAAATTTCTCTGGTAAAAATTTGCGACCCTTGGCATATACCTGGTGGCCTTCCAGATAGTTTTCTAGTCTTGGTCGTCATTAATTTGTAGGCACACTTCATAATTCTTGACACTGGTAACACATTGGTAATTGTCAATCCATTTTTGGTGTCTTCTCATACTTGAACGAGTTAGAATAACTCCATTTAAGTCAGTAGTTGGACTGCTGCCCAGGGAGGGTGTGGAGTCCCCTTCTCTGGAGATCTTCAAGCCCCACCTGGATGCTCCTGAGTGATGTGCTCTGGGCAACCCTGCTTTGGCAGGGGAGTTGGACTGGATGGTCTCTAGAAGGTCCCTTCCAACTCTGACAATTCTGTCATCAGGCACCCTTGGTTTGAGACAATTTTAGAAGGAAATAAAGGAAGAATAAATAAAATCACTTAGGTTAAGGATGTTGGTACTCAGGGAAATAGTGTGACGAGTAGACCACTCTGTATGAGAGAAATTGTTTACTAGAAATGAGTAGCAATTAAGTTCTTACAGAAGTAAGAAAAACATTTGTTGGCTCGTTACCCTATAGCAGGGAGATTGCTGTTGAGAGAACCCCGCTGTTGGTGTGGAGCTTGAAATTTGATTTGAGGCCGTGTTATGAGATGCTGAGCACCTCTTCCTGCTGACATCCACGGGAACTGGAACTGTTGATTATCTGGCAGGACTGAGTCTTTCATAACGGTGAACTCCTGGAGGCCATGCAGGAGAAAATGACCGTTTCTAATTATCTTGGCTGTCTCGTCTAATCTGCCACTCAGGAAGGTCTTCCAATCCACTTGATCTCTGTAAATCTTATGTGGCCTTTCTTATCTCTGTAAATGATCATTTAGCAGGCTCTTAAAAACTATTTCTGTGTTTTCCTGCATCAAAACAATGAAGCTGAGCCCCACCAAAGGTTAATATAAATCACCTTGGTGTTTCCATTCAGTGTTGGATTAGTATTTACCTCCGAGAAAAACACTGTGATACAGAAGGAAATTCTATGGTTGAAGATTGTCTTACAAATGATCCTGGTGATTGCTTTGAAGGATGCTTGTCGATTCATTTTACATCTCAAATAAACACATATTAAACTATTAACAAAGGAAATTGATCCCTCTCATTTTAAAACAGACCTGCACCTTAAAATGCTGTTGAGGAATGTTTACCAGGATAAAGAAATTGCTTTAGTTACTGGACAATAAAATTGCATTGTTAAAACCAAAAGGCTGTCAATATTAAAAGCAATCTCAAAGTACAGCTGCTGCTGTTTTATGCTCCTTTTGCACTTCACTTTATTCAGAAATTAGAGAGAGGCATAAAAGCTTAATGAAATGCCATTGATTTGGGAGCTGCAGCTGCTCAACTTAATAAGACTGAAATAGTAGATTTGATTTGTGGCCCTTTGATAATGTTTCCAAGAACTGCTGTACAAAAGTCTTTGAGTCTAAATAATTGAAAAAATGTGCAAATATCACTTCACGAAGTGTGACATTTTAATAGGGAGCATTTTTATACGTGTGCCTTGAGAAAGGAAGGTGATGAAAAGAAAGTTCAGCCCTGTCAGGTGGCCACCGAAACCTCCCCTCCGTAGGCAGAGTTGGAAGGCTGGAAGATGCCCGGTGCATGTGTGTCTTGACGAGATGCCAAGGTTAAATGCCAAGGGTACTTGGTGCGATTTTTGCGGCCGAGCTGTGATGAAATGCCAGCTGCAGGGCGAGCCGGGGCGGGTGATGTGGTTACATAGGCTTTTGGGGGGAGTCTGACAAAGTCAGGGATTTTTTTTTAACCGGCATGTAATTGCATGGAAACGGGTGGAGAAGGAACTTGCATAAGATTGCATGGTTAAAGAATTGGTAAGATGCACTTGCATGCGTTTAGTTATTAGCCATATTTACAAGCTGCAAAGCACAACCAAAGCTAAAAAACACTCGAATGGGACGATGTGTGCAATGCCTTAGCAGTGTTACTCACAATCCTGAGGCCTCATGCGTGGCTTTGTACATATGTGTCTTTCTTTAATAACTTCATAAGCTTACGTATTCTTTTTTTCTCTTTTTTTTTTTTTTTACCTTCTTTCCCTCTCCCCCCGCCCCACAGGACCTCCTGTAAGTACAGTGATACATTGTTGGTACTTCCACAATCAGGGAGAAAGCTGTTAGATCCTGTTAAGTTATCACCGCGATAAAATGATCATGTACCATCAAGAGGGAATTTTTGGTATTTATACTTACACAGTGTAAACACTAATTATCTCAGAGCGGAATAATTGAATCCCAAAGTTCCTTAAGAAATAAATCCCTAAAACAATAAAGCTTTGTATTCAGAGCTCCAGATAGCGGTTTGGATCGCGGTTCCACGTAAGTATGTTAAGTTCGTTTTGCTTAAGGCTTGATAACAGATATTTTGCTGCAGCATAAAAATGTGTGCGTGGGCTGTCTCATGTCCAGACTCTTATGTCCATTCTGCCTTTAGCTGGGTGGTGACTTCCCCTGCAGTTATCACAAACCCTTGGGGTTCAAGCCTCTTGTTCTTTGGAGGTGTACAGGCTGGCTGGCTCATTGTATGCTGCAGTATAAAAATGTGTGCGTGGGCTGTCTCATGTCCAGACTCTTATGTCCACTCTGCCTTTAGCTGGGTGGTGACTTCCCCTGCAGTTATCACAAACCCTTGGGGTTCAAGCCTCTTGTTCTTTGGAGGTGTACAGGCTGGCTGGCTCATTGTAGCGTAACTGTTACCACAGCCAGAGAGTGCTCCTGTAAAATGAAAAATATAACACTATTCAGTTTCATAAATTGATTGAATCTTGTGCTAATCCGGTTTGTAAGAAAATAGTTTCTCTCTTCTGGGGTCCTATGTTTATTTTGGGTTTTGCCTGGGGTTTGTTTGTTTTCGTTTTTTTTTTTTTTAGTTGGTTGGGTTTTTTTTTGTTTTGTTGTATATTCCTGGGGTAGGTTAAAAGTCTGACTTGAAGAACGGGACTAAACACATACAATACAAGCATTTGTGTTTGTCGTGCCATCCATGTGCACCATATGGTGTAAAAGTGTGACCATTAAGACAATATTTATTTTACAGTGTTTGCAGACTTCTGTTTTTTTTATTTTCTTTGATAGATATATTTGATTATGTTTCCAGGACATATTATTATATGTGTATGTATATGTGTCCTGTAGATATTATTATACATAATAATTTCAGGACGAGATAGATATCTTTGATAATGTTTCCAGGACATATTATATGTGTGTGTATATGTGTCCTGTATATATTATTATACATAATATTTTCAGGATGAGATCATCTGTCTAGTGTATACCACATGCATATTTGAGAATAGTGAATTAATGTGTTGAATTCTGCTGTGAGGTAATGATTTTACTGTAAACTGCACATACCGAGCAGTGATACTATTTTATCCTTGAAAGGTTTTGACCATGGGCTCAGCAGTTCATAGTGGTAAATTCATTTAACGAGCTATTAATGAAAACCCAGGCTTCGTGCATAATGGTGCTGTTTATTTGAAAGGAACATTGGCTTCCCCAATTTCTTTTGCAGTCTTCGCATGAAACAAAAGAACAACCATAAATCACGATACAAGTGATTTTCCTGTAGCAAGACAACATGGCAAGAGTTCACTGTGTGCCTCGTTATGAATGTCTTTGACTTCAGCTCCCTACTGTTTTAGTATATATCCATTAAAAAAAAAAGTCTAGATCATGGCAATATTGCAATATTAACACAAACCTGAAATAGCTCCCAAGACTGAATGCTTTTAAGAAATATCTGACTTCAAATTTGAAGTTTCACATTCAAAACTTAACAAGATTTCATCTTACTGACTGGTAGTAAGGATTTAAGTTGCTACAAGGCATTTAAAAATGTAATAATTTCTGATCCTAATTCACTTTTTTATTTTCATAGACAGCCTGGCTAGGGGCAACTGTTGTGAACTCAGTTATTGTTTTCACCTGGGAGACTGTGATATCATTTTCATTTAAAATAGCAAATATTTTTATATCCCACATAGCACTGCATGGAATTAGGTATATGCTGTGTTTTCCACGGCTACTGCAGTGCTCTGCTTGTTTCCTTGTAAATGACTACTGAGTGTCACACGTGATAACAGTCAAAGTCTGAGGCTTTTAATTTAATTTTTTTTTCACAATCTGTTGTAGCATTCTCAAATTTCCTGCTTGGCACCTACGTTCTGGTGGTAGCCTTACGCATCTGTTACATTACTGCCTAGGCACTGAATGTTTTTTTTTTTTCTTTAAACCACGTATTGCCCCTCAGTCTACGTGGACAATGTTCTTCATAACAAAAGGAATTTCAGTGAGCATCCGAAGTAGCCAGTAGCCTTTTAATTAGGATGTTTATTTAAGCTAAAACATACAATTTCCATCACCAAAGCTTCATTTCTTCATTGTGTAGTACCTCGCTTCTATTTGTTGGTTTGTAATATCATCACATATACAAAATTAATAGATATGCAAATTATAATTTGTACTCTGCATGTTTGTTATGCCATATGTCGTGACTGTGTTGTTAATGTGTGTCATCCCATTTCATCTCATTCAACCAGGGTCTACCAGGGCGAAATGGCTATCCGGTAACTCATCATTGTTTATGATAGCTTATATTACTCTAAAATCTTGTTGCTGTATTTTGGTTTTGCTTTACTACTGTCAAAAAGATCTTTTTTTCTGTTTCTTAGATGCCTAGAAAATGTAGGACTTTTCTTAAAAAAAAAAAAAAAGAGGCAAAAATCCTCACTTCTAGAAGTTTTTAAAAAGAACTTGAGTGTTTACAGTGCATAAATGCAATGTGCTTATTGTTTGACATTTTGCATATTTTATGTTCAGCTTCTGCATTCTTTCATACAAAATTATTTTTTTACTCTAATATAAAAAAACCCTATTTAGCGGGATACTGCATCTTCTGTTTCCATGTTAGAAAGCTGTACAGTTGCCATATGGAACCTCTAAGTCGTACAAAATTATTTTTTTACTCTAATTTAAAAAAACTTATTTAGTGGGATACTGCATCTTATTTTTCCATGTTAGAAAACTGTACAGTTGCCATATGGAACCTCTAAGTCCTTTCTTTTAACTGTGTCCTGTTTCTCTTGACTGCTTCGTCCATTGCATTTTGAACATAGTAAAATGCTACGACAGAAGTCCTAGCAGTTGGCTGTGTTGTCTATCACAGAGCAATCTTCTTCTGATAATGTATGTTTTTCTGTCAGTTCTATTCATATCCTTAGGATTTAATGCTTGAAAAAGTAATATATGAAATAATGCATCTTTCTAAAATGTAATACTAATGTATTTCTTTCGAGTAGTCAGGCAAGTTGTCTGCAGTGTCCCATTCAAGGAGAGAAGTATATGCCTACTCTCATGTGTGTATTAGAAACCAAGTGACAAAATGTGTTAATGGATGCATTTCAGAGACAAAACATATGCACAACATAGTGACTGTTAAAGAATGATAATATCTTTGAGCACTTCAAGTATAGCATGGAGGGCCCTCCCGTACTGATTTGCCTATGTCTTTTGTAAAAAGATGCCTAATTTCTCAGTGAATTTTAAACATGTTTCTGTTGGTAGATACAAATTGTGTACTCATGAACACCTCTCAGAATGGTTAGAGTTGGAAGGGACCTCAAGGATCATCGAGTTCCAACCGCCCTGCCCTGGGCAGGGACACCTCCCACCAGACCAGGTTACTCAAAGCCCCATCCAGCCTGGCCTTGAACCCCTCCAGGGATGGGGCAGCCACAGCTTCTCTGGGCAACCTGTTCCAGTGTCTCAACACCTTAATCATAAAACATTTCTTCCTTATGTTCAATCCAAACCTACCTTCTTTTAGTTTAAAATCATTTCCCTTGTCCTGTCACTAAAGGTTTTGGTTAAAAAAAAAAAAAGCATCTTCATCTTTCTTACAATGTATATTGAAAGGCCACAATAAGGTCTACTCAGACCCCTCTCTTTTCTAGGCTGAACAACCCAAATCTCTTAGCCCTTCTCCATAGGAGAGGTGTTCCAGCCCTCCTTCCTTATGTTCAATCCAAACCTACCTTCTTTTAGTTTAAAATCATTGCCCTTGTCCTGTCACTAAAGGTCTTGGTAAAAAAAAAAAAAAAGCATCTCCATCTTTCTTACAATGTATATTGAAAGGCCACAATAAGGTCTACTCAGACCCCTCTCTTTTCTAGGCTGAACAACCCAAATCTCTCAGCCATTCTCCATAGGAGAGGTGCTCCAGCCCTCTGATCATTGTTGTGGCCTCCTCTGGACCTGTTATCTGTCATCTAACCCACACTTCCTAAGCTTACCTATGAGGATGCTGTGAGAGATTGTGTCAAAAGCCTTGCTGAAGTCAAGGTAGACAGCATCCACTGCCCTCCCCTCATCTGTCTATCTAGTCATGCCATTGTAGAAGGCTATCAGTTTAGTCAGACATGATTTTCCCTTGGTGAATCCATGTTGGCTACTCATAACTTTCTTTTTGTCCATGTGTGTTGAGATGATGCCCAGAACAAGCTATTCCATCATCTTTCTGGGGATGGAGATGAGGCTGACTGGCCTGTAGTTTTCCAGGTCTTCCTTCTTGCCTCTTTTGAAGACTGGAGTGACATTGGCTTTCCTCCAGTCCTTGAGCACCTTGCCTGTTCTCCAGGACCTTTCAAAGATAGCGGCCCAGCAAGGGCTTCTGCCAGCTCCCTCAGCACTCGTGGGTGCATCCCGTCAGGAAACCATGGGCTTGTGGATATCCAGTTTACTTAACTGGTCTCTAAACCATGGACTTGTGGATATCCAGTTTACTTAACTGGTCTCTAACTTGATCTTCCTCCACCAAGGGGAAGTCTTCCTTCATCCAGACTTTCTCTGTTACCTCCTGAGGGCTGGCCTGAGCAGCAAAGAAGGCATTCAGCAAGAGCCCTCAGGCTCTTGTGTCACGACTTCCATGAAAATTAAATATCTTTGTATTTCCTCATTCCAATTGATGATCTTAACACACAAGGTACAGTTTATGTTGTGGAAAGTGCAAAAGCCTCATAGATCTAACTTCTTGGCCTAACATGGAAGTTGACAAGCTGAATGAAGGTATTACTGATGGATTCATGCATGTTTTGAAGGCTCTACAGGGACAGTTTAAAAATACAGTTTTCTTTAGAGGCTGAAGGTCCAGTTCTTTGTCCTGGTCCAGGTGTTTTCTTGAAGAGACTTGTTGTGGGATCTGAAGACAATAAAGGTTCTTGGAAGCCATGTTATTGAAATTGCTGGATCTAATAGCGGCATTGTAATAGGCAAAATTTAGTCTGAATGCACTTCTGAGCGTGTGTGCACAGGCACTGCCTGCCTTGGGTAGTGCTTAGCACTGATTGAGCACCCCTTCCTGCTTGAAAATGACTGGGAATAGAATTTGGCTTTGGTTCTTGAAAGTTGTCACTTTGGCTGGCTGTTGAGACCTCTTCAGTTTCAGCCATATCCTCCTACTTTGAACGGGAAATATGTAACAGCAAGTGCAGTGCGCTTTAAAAGTACTTATACAGCCCTGTAGAGCTCTATGAAAAGGCTGTTAGTGTTTCAAGTTATTTCTCTGGAGTTCTATTTAACTCCTGTAGAAACCTTATTACTTTAATCTTTATTGGATTTTATAGGATATTGTGTGAGGATAGTGATGTATCTGCCATGTATAACCTAAAAAAGCTGTCTGCTCAGTAGGCCAGAACATAGCACTGAAATCTCACAAAAACTAGTGGCCCTTTCCTCCAAGACTTAATTTTTAATTTTCTGTGCTCATTCTAATTATTAAGAAATAATAACAGTAAAAGGAATTACAGTGAGAAATCTTAACTTCCTGGGAAGATACGGTATCAAAAGTCAAGAAAATAAGCTGGACTTACTCCTAATGAGTAACAAAGTTATTAAGGGGTTTATAAGACCATGATTAATTGGTTATTATGTAAGGCATTATGAATACTATAAAAATGTATGATAGTGCAGCTCTTTTTTTCCTTGTTAAGAGCTTTGTATTTCAGAGAGTGATCAAATTCAGAGTTGTAACTCTTCCAACTTCAGTCTGGAATTGAAATAGGCTATCACATCTTCTTAAAGAAAAGAGAACAAAAGAGTGCACAAACATTAGAGGATGAGAACAAAGGCATTTGTTGCAGGGGGTTTGTATGGCAATGTCACTTGAGAAATAACCCTCGAACTTGGGGGAAAAGAAAACTCAACCAAAAAAAAGACCCCAGCAACTTATGAATGCATTGAAGAGGCCAAGCCGTGTTAATGCTCTGCAGGGGAAAAAAATTTTATAAACTAGTTGAATGGGTAGAAATTATTTACTGTTTTCCATTGAAAAACTGAACTAGACTGAGAAATTTTTTCCTAACCCTTCTCCCAAGTTGGGGCACAGATGAAGCTCAACATCCAAGTAAATCATCCTGGAAGGTGTTGTGTATATGGCGGTAAAGCTATGCTGTTTTCACAATAAAGTGTCAGAATGTGAAGGTTCCCATACAGATTGTTTCATAAAAGAGGGTTTCAGGAAAATTTCTCCTTCATCTTTCCATGATGTCAGTCTGCAGAGCACCTAATGTGTTTACAAAGCCTTTAGGGCTGTGGAGAGTTACGGCTACTCCAAGTGACCGTGTAGTGTTGTGTATATGGCAGTAAAGCTACGCTGTTTTCAGAATAAAGTGTCAGAATGTGAAGGCTCCCATATAGTATTGTTTCAAAGAAGAGGGTATCGGGGAAATTTCTCCTTCATCTTTCCATGATGTCAGTCTGCAGAGCACCTAATGTGTTTACAAAGCCTTTAGGGCTGTGGAGAGTTACGGCTACTCCAAGTGACCGTGTGCTTTGTATTGAATCCCATTTCTCCTAATATTCTTGTTTCACCTTCAAGAAATGTAGACGGATTCCTCTCTTGCAGAAAAGGATGTGTCTAAATTGGAGGTTGTTCTCCTGTAACTGTAAAATGCCACCTCTTGCTCAAGACTGTCATTTTATTTAAAATTTTCCTAACTCTTGACAGACTTAGCACTGAGTGGTGAAGACAGCAAAGTGGCAAAGCCTAGAACTACAGAAGAGAATTTCAGTTATTCTTTAGTCTGCTATAATTCCTTCTAACTTAGAAAATGTCTTTATCATCCCACTGCTGATTTTTACACCTACAAAAATGTGTCCTGGTATACCATAAGACAAGCTATTATCCTGATGTGTAAAGAATTTCTGGTTGCTGTTAGAAGGGTCTGATTCCCCCTCAGCCCTGTTTCTGTTCCTCTATTAGAAAAGTTGAAGAGGATTCCAGGTAGAACAGGGAAGAGCTGTGAGTTTGAAGAAATAGGCCTAATTTGTAAGAACGTGAAAATTGCTGTTGTGAAAAATTGGAAGAAGGCATTTACTTGTCCTGCTGTGTTGCTTTGGCTTTGACAGTGCTTCATATTTCATTTTTGGCTGTTGGAGACTGGGGCTGTGTAGGCAACTGCGCAGTAAGAAACAGTGTAGCAGAGACCCTTCCCTTTTCTTTCCTCCCTCCTTCCTTTCCTAGCGTGAAACTCAGATGTAATTATACGGGATAAATTTCCCATTTGGAAAG